AGATTTCAAAAATTAAAATATGCATAGCCATTTCACTAATACTCCGACTAAACTTTTCATGTATCTCATATCTGCTACCCGTTTTCATATTGTTTCCGTTGAGTTCCAAATATTCATCAAACGCAACTATTGTAAATTTATCTGCTTCTTTTTACTGAATTAAACCATGTCTTTCCACCCGAAGCACCCAATTCCTGCTGCATAGCAAGAAGGTTGAAAACTCAAATGACCGGAACACTTCAAGGTATTTGACAATAAAATGTTTTGACCCCACACCACTGTAGCAATCATAGTAGAACAGGTATAAGCCATCAATAGAAATAAATCAAGTCATGGAAGAAGAGGTAGAAAGGCATGGCATTGCAATGAGAAGTGAGGCAAACCAACATCCATATGTTAGTTTCACTGGGTGGGGGGGTAAGGTCTACCTACACTCTACTCTCCCCACCCACTTTGGTGGATTTCACAGGTGGTATATTGTTGGGATTCAAACCAAATACGGATTAACAAGTAATAGTAGCAACTGGACTTGCAACAATTCAAATCACCGAAAAAAGACGCATACTACATGATAACTTAGTAAACTGTCGATAACTAGCTTCAATTTCCTTACTTCTCCTTCACTCTAGTAGATGAAGAAGGAAGACAATAAGAGAACACAGAAGTGGACGAACGAACCTGAGCAAGGACTGGTTTAGGCAAATTAGAGCCTTGAAAGAAGGCAACAGCCTCAGCACCACTGATCCGACCATCCTGATCCAAATCTGCTCTGCGAAAATAAGCCTCAAATTGATCCGTTTGGTTCTGCGCAGCCATTACTGAACCGATTCAATCAGCTTGAGAATACTGAATTAGATCTGCGATAAGGAATTAGGGCAGGGAATTAGAGAGGTTTAAGAAGATCCCAGGTGGTGATCCGCCGCCGCCGGACAGTGGGCAGTGGTGGGATCGATAGGCGGAGGATCGAGAAAAGTGATGTCAGAAGTTCGATGGGGTTTGTGCTTCGGACAGCACAATGCACATTGCATTACTCTCTCTTTTGATTGCACCTTCACACCTTTGTTTTTTTTTTGTTTAAAATAAACTATGCTTTTTTTCGACAATATCATCATTGTGTGCTGTAAATTTTGTGTTTATCTACTCAATTTCAATTTGTTTATTTAATTTTTATTTAATAAAAAAAAGGTTATATAAAAAAAATTAAATAATATAATTTTAAATTAGAGATATTATATTCTATATATAATAAGCTATAATGCAAATATTTTTATATTATTTAGTTACATTGTAACTATCTTGTTAGCTTTCAACCAAAAGAAGTACTTCTTTTAAATAATAAATATGTCATTGTATGAGCTATTTATTACTCATTCCTTTTGAATTTGTTAATCTGATTTTGATCTGACACATAGTTTACGAAAGTAAATTAGATTTTGAGAAAAAATATTAAGTGATACTTGAAGTTCTCCCAGATTTTCAAAAAAACACTTTAACTTTGTGTGCGTCCTATTACCCCACAAAACATTCAAAATCACAATAAATACACATTTTTTACACAATATTTCCACTTTGGACAAAAATATCCTTCGAATGTGCAATTTCTTAAAAACAAAAGGTGGGACCCATTATTAATGTATTGAAGGATGCTTTGGTAATTTCCTATGATGAATTCGTTTTGTTTGTTTCTTTTAAATTTATTTTACTATACTAAATAATTGTATAAACTATTATAAATCACGATAATTAATTACTTAAATATTTAAAAGATATGAAAATATATAAAAGATCTGATTGACTCTTCAAATTTTACCGGTGACACATAAATTGGGACAAATAAAATAATATATATTATTTGAAAATTTCTTAGAAAGTACTATAAATTACAGTAATTAACAGCTAGAAATATTTCAAAGACAAAAAAAAATGATTGAATCTCAAATTTTTTTTAGTACTACATAAATTGAGAAAGAAGAAATCACCTCTATTATTTGAAAATGGCGTAAAAGTATTACAAATCATACAATAAGAATTAACAATTTAAAATTTTAAAAGACTTTAATGCTTTATACTTATTCTATTTCCACTTTGGACAAAATATCCTCCCAATATGCATATTTTTTAAACAAAAAGTGGACCCATTATTGATGTATTGAAGGATGCTTTGGTAATTTTCCTATGATGAATTTGTTTTGTTTGTTGTTTAATTTTTTTTAAATATTTGTATAAAATATTATAAATCACAATAATTATTTACTTAACTATTCAAAAGATATAAAATTATGTAAATGATCTGATTAATTCTTCAAATTTTATCAGTGACACATAAATTGGACAAATGAAATAATATATATTATTTGAAAATTACTTAGAAAGTACAATAATTTACAGTAATTAACAATAGAATATTTTAAAGACAACAAAAATTGATTGAATCTCGAAATTTTATTAGTACCACATAAATTGAGAAAGAAAAAATAACCTTTATTATTTGAAAATTGCATAAAATATATTACAAATCATACAACAATAATTAGCAATTTAGAATGTTAAAAGACATAAAAAAAATTTTACCATGGTTAACAATAATTAAAAATTTAAAATATTTTAAATTAATATTCAAATTTGATTAACTCTTTAATTTTGTCTTTGTTACATAAATTGAAACAAAAAATGATACATATTGGGTCTGTGCTAGCACGGGCTCCGATGTCTAGTACTAATAATACTCTACAAATAGGAAAGTAGTATGTCTAACTACCTACAAATATTCTATTTTAGTTTTTGATTTACCCCTATAATCATGGATCATGTATTCATTGAGTTGAAGTTATATATGTCTTGCATAATCACTTCACCCCCAATATTTCTAGGCCTATCTTTACCCCACCTCAAGCCAACACGACCAACCTTTCGAACCTTCTTTTAGGGGATTCCAAATATCTCATCTTCATATATTCGAACCATCACAAGCTCCTTTCCGCATCTTATCTTCTACAAGGTCATGACCTCACCTCTGCCTATCCCCATTCCTAATTTTATCTTTTCTAATATGTCTACACATCTATCTTAACATTCATATTATTGCTACTCTCATCTTTAGATATGAGAGCTTTTGACTGGTCAGCAATCCGTTTACTATAACATAGTTGGTTCAACTACAATTCTGTAGAACTTATCTTTAAATTTTTACAACATATTTTTATCACAAAAACACTGAATGTGAGCCTTTGTTTTATCCAATCTATCCTAATACAATGTGTGACGTTTCCACTTCCCATCAATCTCTCTACTACCTTAAATTATTGACCTCAAATATATTTGAAAATTTATCTATTCAAGAAAGGTAACTTGTGTGTCAAGCACACCACATTTATGTTCGCTTCATAAATTGCGTGATTGAACTTATACTCCAAGACTCATTTTCTTATCTTGCTTAACTTAAAATCTTTAGACTTTAGGTTATGTCTCAAAGCCTTCAGTCTCCTATTATAGCCCTTTTACGTCTCGTTAATCAATATTATATCATCCACAAAATATATTATCTCAGGATCTTACTTTTGTGCTTTACACCAACTTTTTCTAATAAGCATACTTTATTATTTTAAATTTTAAATTTAGACTATACCCAAAATTTTATCAAATGATACGGAGAAGAAGAGGGTGAGAAAATATATTATTTAACAAAAAAATGTTTTCTCGCATGTCTTAAAATCCGTGCTATATCTATTTTTTTTTATTTTTTTATTTTTCACTCTATTTTTGATATTCATATTAAAACTCAATTATTTTAAATTATCGCGTAAAACCTCTTTTGGAGAAAATCTTTTCTATTAAAGATTTATACGCGAATCTTCCCTCTACCCATCCTCCCTCTGCATTGATTACCTCCTTACCCCAACCAAAGGACCAACAAGGACACACCACTTCCTTTTCCATCCCCACCATATCGATCTCCCTCATGACCAATCATGAAACTATTTCCAATATAGCAAATCTCAAAATAATCCGTTTTTAGTATTTAATGTTACGTACTTATTTTGGAATGTTCATCGAAAAACTCACTCTACTCTAAATATATAATTTAATTTTCAAAAATCAAATCTGAAATTTTCTAGATACTTTCAACTAAAAATAGTCATAATAGTCCACAACGTACCAATAAAAATAGTCAAAGCAGTCCACAATGTACCAAATGGAAACTTCCACTTATTCACCGTAAAAAGAAGTCATAAAATTCATTTCTCCAATGACATTGGTGAAATATCTCTGAATTAATAGTACTTTTTAGTCACGTATTAGTTATTCTTTTTATTTTTTATCCATAACAAATTATTTATATTTTTAATTTTATTTTAAAAATCACACTTCCATCAATTATGAGCAATAAACTAATCAATAATAGTTTTACTAGAGTAATACAAACTTGTTTATATTATTATATATTAATTTCAAAATAAAATCATTGAGGCAATGCACACATTTATTAAAAAAAATATTTAGAACATAAAATAAACATCATTTTTCACTTTTGTCCTTTTAGTTATTTTCAAACTATTCTTAAAAATAGTATAAATAACTCAAAATAAAATCATAAATATAAGCAATTTACTCTCTTGAAATTATCATTTAGAAAATATAAATAAGGGGCAAGAATGAAAAAAATACCCAACAACTCTCTTGAACTATAAATAATTTACTTATTTTAAATTGTAAAAAAAAGCTCAATAATTTAATTATTTTGAAACGAAAAAAGTAATTTTTAATTTTTTAACAACGTCAATTATAAAATATGAGATAAAAGAAGTAACAATTAATATGAGACGGAGGAAGTAATAAAAGAGAGAAAGAGCAAAAAGTGGAGCGAGTCTTGTATTGAAGGCCACATATGTTCCCTCATTAAACGCACTGTCTCGTTTCTCTATCAACCTTTTCTCTTCCCCAAAATTTATGGAGCTTTTGATATTTTCTTTGCTACTTTCTGTTAATAGTCGAAACTAATAATCAAATTCGTAAACAAAGGGAACGTAGTTTTGAAATTTTCAGATCACGATTGTTTGATTCAGTCATAAACAATGTCTTGTTCATCGTCGTCGGCGTCGGAGGATGACGATGAAGGATTCGATTCTTACCGAAAGGGAGGGTACCATGCCGTGAGAGTCGGCGATTCATTTTCCGGTGGCCGATATATCGCTCAACGAAAACTCGGATGGGGAGAGTTTTCCACCGTTTGGCTCGCTTATGATACTCAGTCATCCGTGAGTTTTGTTTTCATTATTTCTTTTCGATTTTTGATAAATAATTTTATTACGAAGAGTTTATGATTGAGGTGTACTAGTTGTAGTTATCACTATTATTACAAAAATAGATGTTTGTCTCAGTTATTATGCCAGCAGCAATTGACATTTCACTGCTTTTAACACAAATGCTTGTTGCATCTGTATCATTCTGGTTATGTTAAGAAATATTTCCAATTTAATCTTCACTGAAAAATCCTGTTTGATGAAAGAATAATCATAGTATTGTAATTAGCATTATTGCTTATGTTCTTGACAGACATGACAATGAATATGCGTGGCTTCTTTACAAGTATGTGAGAGTCGTTACACATCATCAAGTGTTAGGTCCTTGATGATAAGCATGATCCCGTGTACAGTAAAATTAATGTTTGAAGTACCTGTTAATTGTTTGAGATGACTTCCATTCTCCACTCATGAATCATGATCCCTTATAATGGTGCATGGCTTGTAATGTTCCCTTATAATGGTGCGTTCCTTGTAATGTTTTCCTCGCAATAAGGGCATGACTCAGTTCAAGAATTTTGTAGTGTTTGCTTCTTTAGGTGACTTTGTTTTGTGATAAAAAGCATTGGTCTTTGGGAACAACTTTGACCTGAATTGGAGTCAGTTGGGTAGATGGTAGAATGACTTTTTGAGATTAAATATCAATCTATTAGCAGCACCTGCTGTAGGTGTTCAAGAACAACCTCTAATTATGATTAAGCAGTTAAGTGCAATTGATGTTCTTCATGGTTTATTTGCTTTGAATTTTTAGTGATAATTAGCCATTTTCTTAGCGCTGAAATGTTTCAGAAACCCTTTCTCTATAAAATTAACTTTAGCAATAATTTTCGTAGATTTCCTTTTATTGGTTTGGAAGTTCATAAGGATCTTTAAGAACTTTAATTTAGTATGTTTGTTTTCTCCTAGGGTTTTGTTGCCTTGAAGATCCAGAAAAGTGCACCACAATTTGCTCAAGCAGCTCTTCATGAAATTGAAGTCCTTTCTGCGATTGCCAATGGTGATCAATCTAACAGTAAATATGTTGTATGGCTTATTGACCATTTTAAGCACACAGGCCCTAATGGACAGCACATATGTATGGTTTTTGAATTTCTTGGTGATAGCTTATTGCGGCTTATCAAGCATAATCACTATAAGGGCCTTGAACTGAACAAAGTTAGGGAAATATGCAAATGTGTTTTGACTGGTTTAGATTATTTGCATGGGGGGCTTGGAATTGTTCATACAGATTTGAAACCTGAAAATATTCTTTTACTTACCACGATTAATGCCACAAAAGATCCCATTAGATCCGGAATGACTCCCATACTTGAAAGGCCTGAGGGGAACCCTAATGGAGGAGTAACAATGAATATCATTGAGAAAAAGCTAAAGCAAAGGGCAAGAAGAGCAGCAGCTAGGATATCAGGAAGACGTTCTTCAATGGGTGGGGTAGGAGGGACTCCAAAATCAAATAGATCTCTTGATGGGATAGACTTGAGATGCAAGGTTGTGGATTTTGGAAATGCATGCTGGGAGGATAAGCAATTTGCACAAGAAATTCAAACAAGACAGTACAGATCCCCTGAAGTTATACTTCAATCTGGATATTCATTCTCTGCTGACATGTGGTCTTTGGCTTGTATAGCATTTGAGCTTGCTACTGGTGAGATGATGTTCACTCCCAAAGGTGGAGAAGGTTTCAGCGAAGATGAGGTAAGATGATTTCATCTGTGTTTCTTTGTTTAGCTGTCCTTTCATTGCATAATGCAACCCGTTTCTCAGTAAAAAAATAATAATCTGAATAAGTGTTATGGAGTATTTTTCTGATTTGAGGTCTGGTTTTTTGGGTGTAAGGTGGAGTCGACCTAGTGTTGAAAGAATTGTCCAATAGATTTTACTTCCTGAAGAGGAATTATTTTATAACTTCACTTGACTATATTTTGGCGGGTTGCAGGATCATCTAGCTATGATGATGGAGTTTCTAGGAAAGATCCCTCGGAAGGTGAGCACATTATATTGTTTTTGTAGCCTTGAAGAATTATTTCTGAAAATAGCTGCTGATTTTATTTTTTTACAAACTTATGGTGGAGCAGATAGCCGTAGGTGGGGCTAGATCCAAAGATTACTTTGACAGGCACGGAGATTTGAAGAGGATCCGTAGACTGAAATATGGTTGTCTAGATAAATTACTAGTTAACAAGTATAGATTTTCTGAAAGTGATGCTCATGAGTTCACGGAATTTCTCAGTCCTCTTCTTGATTTTGAGCCAGAGAAACGACCAACTGCTGAGCAGTGCTTGCAGCACCCATGGCTCAACTTTAAAAACCAAAAGCAAACAGAGGTGAAGAATGAATCAGGTGTGGAAAGGGTTAATGTCGGTATGAGCAAGCTACAAATTAAGGTGGGTAAGTAATGTTGGGATGAATAGTTTTGTCACTACTTATGTCCCACTCTCCACCTGTATCAGTGCCACTTGTGGTTTAATTTTTTGGATTGTTTTAGTTTCTTAGTAAGATTTGATTCATTCATTAGTAGTTTTGGATGATCATGATGGGGAAATGACTTCCAAAAGAGAAATTGACCTCACTCCAGATTCATGGTTCTAGTGAAGTTGACTGTCATTGAAGGAATGATTCCTTCTTTCCCATGATAAAGTAGTTGCCCGTGTTCTGTTGAGGGCCCTGAGGAAACAAAGCAAGTTCCATAATGACTGCTATATGGCATCATTTGAACTCAGCATTATCCACCAAAGGCAAGAGACATTAGCTGCCTGAGAAAGTTTGCTTTTTAAGTCACTCTGGAGAAATATTGAGGAGCCATACGAAAAGGAGAAAAAGGGGGGTTGCTTTTGTATACTCAACATTAGAAGGGAACAGCCTCGCCTTTATGATGGACGCAGTGATGCAAAAAGTTGGAAAAGGATTTCTAACTCATGATGAAGTCCCCTATGACAAGACATAAAATTTTTGTATACAGGATTTTGAAATTTTGTAAGTTGTATCCATTTCTTTTAGCTAGCAACCTAACTTTATCATATGTGTATTCAACATATCTTGTATCTTTGACAAATGTGGAAACAAAACTTCTGTAATTTTGACCAAAAAGAGAATGATATGAAACAATTATTTTCAGTAGGCTTGGTTTTAGTTTTGCTCATATGGTTCATAGAAGGATATGGAAAAGTAGTTATATTGTTGTCATTTACCATGAAAAACAATGTTATATTAAGAGAGAACCACAATTTATAGTAGGGACACATTGTATTGGAAAGAAGATGACAAAAAAGTAGAGGAGAAGGAATAGGCTGGTATCCCTATATGACCACCATGTGCCTCTCCACCCAAACCTTGGGAGTGTTAAGGTCCAGAGTCAGAAAAAGTAGTAGAAAATAAATGATTTTAAGAAAAATACAACTTTTCGTCAATAAAATGTAAAGCAACATCTATTTACCTATAGTGATTAGTGCTTCCCATGGAGTGTATATTTTGAGTTTGAGAACATTAATTGTATCTCTAAGTAGGTATAAATAAATAAACTTGCAGAAATGGTATGATTGGATCTGTAATCGCGTTAAATACATTTATTTGTTGAATCTGTATAGATGTACCGTGCTCTAGATCCAAATTATATTTCAATGTGATGAATTATTGCTTGGTAGGTAGCAATTTTTCTGGATGATCGCAGACTCAAGTGCAATTTTCCACTCACTTGAAAACACAATGTAGTCTGCTTCAACTCCTCAACAATGAGAGAACATTCTAAAGGCACAATGCATCTCCAAACATAATTGCACCTACGAAAATAAATAAATCAATCCATCAATTATGCTTCACCCAAAAATTAGTTGGCCTGCTATACTGATCCTCATTCCGCTGTATCTGTTCTACTCTATCCATATCAGAGTTATTGTTCCAATACAAATGAAAACAAAGACATCAGGAGTAAAGAAAAATATCTTGTTCCTTCTCTTTTGCTTATGTGGGGGTGGGTGGAGGCGAGAGAGCATCAAGGTTCAAACCCACAAGCAGAAAGCAGAAAAATAACCCAACAAATGAAAAAAATCAATCAAATTCAGGTCAGTTCAAGATTTTCCAACCTTCCATTATCAAAAACAGAGGATTTGTACATAATTCACCATATTACAGGATAATAGTGTGTGTGTAGTTAATGAAAGGACAACAGTAATAGGCAGTTTAAGCATTTAACACTTACTATATACTAAGAATAATTAACTTCAACTGACCTCAGTATCACAGCCTCAATTTGTTTAGCTAGTAGTGTGTTTACTTTTGAATTGGCGGTCACTGTTACCGTTAAGTTCATGCGAGAGTTAGGTTCAACTTCAATGAATGTTGCAAAATTTAGTGGAATGGAATATCAGGTAAATGGCAAGTTTATCAAGTTCCATAGATTGGTTTGTGATGAAAATTTAAACAAAGATGCGTAACTTACCTGGTAAATGATCTTGAAGCTTGAAAATGAATGTTGCAGATCCAACCCCAGTTTTGAATGTGGTCAGCATAGTTGTGTAGTAATTGGTAATTAATTTCAGGCATGACCTGCAAAGGGATGGTCAAAGACTCAAAATCAATGTTGCCGATGAAAATGAGTTCCAAGTCTTTCCTAAGCAGAACAAGGCAAATCTATTTCACATTAGATGACCATAAACGTACCATTTCTTGCTAGGAATCAAGATAGGTTGTTGTCCTCTTTTGTCCAGATAGGACCTGATAATTCACTAAGTTACAGACTCCACGTTGAAATGACACATCAATGAGTTTTAAGACAATCATTACCTTCTCACACAGTTCTTCCAAACGAATTCGCTCATCATAATCCTTTTCTTCAGTAATATCACAAAACTACAATACAAAAGAAGTCACGAAAAAACATCCAAGATATGGCTAAGGTACTCAACTGTAATCTCTGGACAAAAGTGCCTCCAATTTGTCCCAGAATCTAAGATACTTTGAGTTTTTGTTGGTGCAAATTTGAATTAAAATAGCAGGCATGACAATTCTATCACAAGAATCAGAACATAAGCAAGATGGAATTTGAGTGAGACTATGACACTTAGAAAAAGACATTGTAATCTCTAATGCTTTCATGAATATTAAGACTGCAAAGATCGAATCTCTCTCCTGACAAGCACTCTCTAGTCAGTTTCTTTGGCTGCAGGAGAAGGAAGCTCAAGAGTAGCTTTGAAACTCTGGGCCCTGCATCTCTTTTTCTTGATCTCATAGTTCACAGGTATATCGGTAAAGAGGAGCAGGGAATGGGATAGCAATAGATGAGGAGGAAACTTCCTCCACTCATCAAAGAAAAATAAGAATTTTGTCACTTCGTCAGAGCCTATTCTAGCTTCTCCTTAATCCTCTCATTCTAATTAATGATTTCTAGTATTGTTAGAACATTAGAGTAGTGTTAAATGTTCAAATTAAGTTACTTCCTCTAAGATCAAAGTCATCCCTCTTTTATTACTTCAAAGAAGAGAAAAGATACTAACTCAGTAACTCTAACCTGAAGGAGGTAAAAGTTGATACCTTTTGAAACAAAGGATACATGGAAAACTATCCTTGTCCTCAAGTCTCTAGAATAATGCCAAAGACCAACAGTGTTGGCATACTTAATAGGTCAAAGCTGTGCTTCCAACCTCCACAGCTGAAGAGTGAAAATCAACCTATACGATTAGTAATAAATAATGATGTTTAGCCTGTTTTAAATTTATTTCACCCGCATTAGATTTTCAAAAAGATTACGTGTTTTGGAATATTTTACACAAAAAACAACACAAACCAATTCTTTGATTTCCTTAAAAAAGAAAAGATTTCTTGAATTTCTTAATATTTGCAGTGTCAATATATTGTTGAAAACAACAATTTCCTATGAATATCAATGTAACTTCAAAAAAATAACAGTTTCTTGAACATTTCTTTAAAACCAATGCATGTAAGAAAATTTAACAACAATGAGCAGATTGATCAATTTAGGTTTACTGGAATCAAACTGGAAATTCTGTTTTTCTTCATTATCTTGTCTGCAAGATACAAGTAAGGAGAATAAACAAGAAACAGTCTTTTTGAAACAAAATTCAAATTCCCTGTGTGAACTGCATTACTGACTTGAAAAATTTGTCTTACAAATTCTTGAACATCCTATAACTACAATTTCTTGATTTCCTTAAAACATTCATTTAAGAATATTAATGTAACTTCAAAAAGACAACAATCTCTTTATTGTTTTTCTTAAACAAGAATTCCTAGATAATCGTACCACGAGTTCTCTATAATGGGAAGAGCAGTGCATGATCGGGAAAATTTATTTGGGGATTAGGTTTTGATAGTCACCGGAGAGCGGCGGCAATGCGGTGGAATACTCACTCTAAGTTGCGCCGGTGATGGTGAGTTCTAAAATGAGGGAAGGCAGCGTACTTTTATAGGTTCAATACACGCGCAATAAAAAAAAATTACACGCGTAAGAAAAAATATTTTTGGAAATTTCTATTTTACTACTTTATTTATATTTTACTAACAAGTAGAGTACATTTATTTTTAATTTATTTATCTTCTTTATCCTTTTGATTTATTTTTCAAAGAACAATCTCTTTTTATACAATTTTTAATTTCACATTTTCACCAGATATGTTTGAGATTATAAGATTAAAAAATATTTTAATATATTTATATATTTTTAATTTAAGATCATACAATTTAAAAGTCATCTCTGTATTTTTGGACCTCATGTCATATCAAAAGCAAATAAACAAATAAAAATGCGAAGAATATAAATTCAAGTTTTTTTTTATTATATTACTAATGAGATTGATTTAAACCACATGAATAGAGTATATTTTTAGATCATAATTATATTTATTTTTAAAAAAAATCACACATTTTTGTGGGAGTTAGATTTTTTTTTCTTTTCACCTCGTTAATTGTATAATAGGGCCCACAAAGATGAGTTAAGCGTCACACGTACAGTCTTCAATCTTCATTGGCTGATTGATCGTTGATGTTACTGTGCAGTGTTTTAAAAAACGTTTTTGGGCGAGTTCCAAGGCGAGTCTCGGAGTGGGGCATAAATTAAATACGCAGATTCATAAGGCGTAAGTCCTAAAATTTAAAGCGTAAGTTCCGAGTATAAAAACACAAGTCTTGGGGCTAAAAATGTACACTCAAGCGTTTTTTTTTTTTTTAAACCTTTTTTGCTTTAAATTATATTTTTATTGGTGTACTGATATTTCTCAAATAGTAATTATAGTACATTTTTTCTTCATTATTGATTATTAATACTTATCTCAAATAAAAATCATAAATCATTGAAAGATTTACTTTTGTTTATTTTATTAGTAATAAAACTATAAAATTGAATATATATGAGACTACGCCCCGTAGATCCGTGGGACTTACACCCCATGTCTCGAGGCTTACGCCTAGCCCTATACTATATAAAACGTCTCGCCTCACGCCTCCGCGTTTTAAAACACTGTTACTATGTAACCCGCAAGTAATATTAGTTATTTTATTTTCTCACCCTTTATATTAACTTATTAATAACATGAATACATGTATGATCAATAATCAGCTAACTTATTTCACCTTCTATTTCGCGTAAATTATATATTATTTTTTAATAAGTTATGTAAGTATTAATTATATAGAGTTACTGAAAAATATG